CCCCCTACATCTCTGGAGTCAGGGGCTGAGGGGATGGTGTCCTTGGGGATGAAGTATTGTGATTGTCAATAGCAGTAATGACAATTGATGGAATGTTTAGGTCTGATTTACAAGCAATGCTGGATTTGCATTAGCGTAGTAGGTTTAAAATAACATCCATGCATTAGACGATATTCAGATTTAATGGAAAAATAATGACTGCATTAAATCAGGTTTTATTGTTATGGAGGGTTTTAATTTGGCAGGACCACTTTCCTTTTGTGATCTAGAAAGGGCTCAGTTGAGGAAGGTGGGGCTTCCTTGCTGATTCTTGACCTATATCCATTCTGCACTCACCCAGAAATGATTGCACCTTTAAAGCAGGTTAACCTTTCTGGTTCCTTTTTGTTTTGTTTTTCCTCAGAAGGTGGTTTTTACTTCTTAAAACCTTACAGATTAATTTAAAAGTAATACAAATTAAACAGAAGTCATTGTTCTTCCCTGCTTTATGAAATGGCGTTTCCATTGTGGGTTGTTTTTTTTTAAAAGAGGAAATGCATCATTAAAGTCGTTGCATTATTTATCAGAGAAGCTAATGAAATCATAACTACAGTAACTGAATACACGCAGTACGGCACTGGTTTGAATCACTGCCTATGAAACCCCAGTTAATCACTGTGGGACCGGTGCCTTTTATACCTCAGCTCATGAAACCAAAAGCATTGCAGTCTTTGTGTAAAGGCTTCAAAATTCTCAACTCTCACCAAAGTAAGAAAGTCAGTTATGGGGTGACAATGAAATTTGGTAAGAATTTGCTAGCAGAGGCAGGATCAACAGCAGATTTTCATGGGTCCTCAAAAGACGGTTAAAAGATTGCTTCGCATCTTGTGTGTCCTTTGCTGCAATGTTACCTGTTAACTTATTGATCTTTCCACCTGCCTAGGTCAGCTGTTCTCACACGGATGAAAGCTATAACTGAAGAGAGAGGAAATCATGGAAAACTCACAGACTAGTCCGCAAGTTTACAAAGGGAGAAGTTGAAGCTAAGGATGTAAGTGACTTGCTAGAGCAGGATGAAAACCCAGATCCTTCCTGGTTACCTCATTGCCTGCCTCTTAGTGGCATGACTGGCCTTGGGGCTTGGGCATAGAGGTTCTGAAAGGGTTGGGAGTCACATGGCTAAAGAAGTGATGTTCTCCTAGACCTCCCCTGCTCTTGGGCCTCTCCTTCTCCTGAGCCTCACCATACCTGGGCCAGCAGTGAGTCCATATTCTCTATATTCCATGCCAACAACCCCCCTGCCTCCATTGTCCCCCGTCCATGTCCCTGCATCCTGCTTTTCCTCTCTCCTTCACTCATTGTCTCCGTTGCCAATATCCCCTCACATTGAGAAACTTGAGGCCTGGCAGGTGGGCTATTATGGGCATGGGTACAAAATCTTGACATCTGGGAAGGCCCCTTAGGTGAGCACTGAAGGGCTGTCCAGCATCCCACTGAGGCTATTGGTGGCCTTGGCTGGGGAGTGGGCTGGAGTCTCAGTATACCCCATCCAGCATTATGGAAGGTTTGATAGAAGTGACAGAGACAAGTTCAAGCCTTTAACATTTCTTTACTCCACCTCACAGGACTGGACTGTTAGGCCAGAATGCACCCAATCCTACATAATCTCTTAGCTTTTGTTTCGTCCACTGGTAGCTCTTTGCTGACTCCTCCAGGAAACCCTTGACCTTCAGGATTGTGCGCCCAGAAACTTCCCACCTGGTCTCCTTCCTTCACACTCTCCTGGTTACAACACCCTACAGTCCTGGGTTGGACACCTGACCCTAGCTGGGCCAAGGAGGACCTTTGTTGGTCATTTGGACTTGGGGCTCATTTTAGGATTCATCTCTCTTCAGGTGGTGAGTGAACTGTAGGTATAACATTTGCAAGCTGTTGGAGACCTTGTCTAGAAAGCCAACGGAATGAAAAAAGAATGAAGTTAATCTGTGGAAACCAATAGAGCTGAGAGATGGTCCAAGTGCAGTTAGTTCTCTTTGCTCCGGAGGCTCTGCAAACACCCAGGCTGAGTGCAGCCTGGGGTGTGACATTCCTTGGATTCCGGATCAAAACCAATACAGTGCCTCTTATGCTCTAGATCTAACTGAGTATCTGTCATTGCAACCGCAAAGGGCCTTACTCTTCCATCTCTATCGACTGATTGATCGCTTCATTCACACATGAGTGTCAGAGCACATTCAGAAATATTATTAGTACCCATTAAGCGGTGCTTTTTTGTGGACTCTCACTTCCTTGTCTTGTTTACATTATCCATTTGCTCATATTTTCCTCTTTACTGTGCAGTTTTTCCATGTCAGATAGATGGGGAAAAGAAGATTTTTAAAAAATATTTATTTTGAGAGAGAGAGAGTGCCCAAGCCAGGGAGGGGCCGAGAGAGAAAGAGAGAGAATCCCAAGCAGGCTCCATGCTGTCAGCGCAAAGCCTGTCACGGGGCTTGATCTCACGAACTATGAGATCATGACCTGAGCCAAGATCAAGAGTCATATGCTTAACTGATTGAGCCACCCTGGCACCCTGGAAAAGATGATTTTTAAGAGCTATGTTAGTTTAGATGGCTGGAAAAGAAGGACCAGCAGGGAGGATTCTGGGTGTGAGTTTATGATGGGCCTTAGGAGGTAGAAGTCTGCCATGGCTTTATGAACATATGGTTAAGCCATCCGTCACGCAATGCCGTGGCATATTTATTATTCACTGGAATCTACCAAAGGAAAAGAAGACATACGTACTCTTTGTTCTTGAGGTGCTCACAGTGGAGGCGCTGGGGAAGGAGCAAGATAAATGTGAAGCACTTGCAAATAAGGAGGGGAGATACATGGAACGGGAAATAGGACGCTCCAGCGTAAGGGAAGCTGGCCTGCTCTTGCTAAGATCAATTGGCACTTTCAGAACACTTCTCGTTCAGAGATCTCAGGTATGTGATAAACACTAGCTCACTGTGGCTCACCAGCTCCTTGGGAACCAGAGATTTAGAACAGGGAATATCCCAGGGCCAAAAGGGACAGGAAACATGCTGAATAGATGTTCCAGGGGGAGTTAAGGAAGTAGAATATAATTACGGGTACTGGAACTACGCCATACTACTAGTAAGAACGAGTTCTCAGACTTCTGATCAAGGTGATAAAACCACTCTGTCAGCTTATGCTTAGTTTCATTGCTCATATCACCACATAGATTTCTCATGCTACAATGCATGAAAATGTTTTAAAATTTCTCAAAATTATCTTTCCAATCGAGATACTTCCTGCAAAGCCTGTGTCCTGTCCACCTCTCCTACATCATCTGCAGACATCCTTCCACTTGCCTATAACTCCTGACCTTTCACTCGGAGCCTGAATAAGTGATAAGCAAAGGGATCTGCTCCCTTGGGACTTCCGAGAAGACAGACAATGACACCTTCCTCTTCCTCCTTCCCATTTCCCTCCTTGCCTCATTTCCTACTTGGACTTTTCATAACTTTTCCAGGTGCCGCCTTATTCCATGTCTGTTCCCATCTCTGCGTTGCCCACAGTAAGAGTCTCAGAAGACCTGAGCGGTGCAGGTTGATCAGAAAGGCCAATCCCGGGGCGCCTGGGTGGCTCAGCGGGTTAAGCATCAGATCATGATCTCGCAGATCGTTAAGTTCGAGCCCCGCTTCAGGCTCTGTGGTGACAGCTCAGAGCCTGGAGCCTTCTTTGGATTCTGTGTCTCCCTCTCTCTCTGTCCCTCCCCCATTCGTGCTCTGTCTCTCTGTCTCTGTCTCTCTCTCTCTCTCAAAGATAAACATTAAAAAAAGAAAATAAAATAAAAAGAAAAGCTAGTCCTGACTGGATTGCCCTCAGGCCCAGTTCTTTAACGTAAAACTGACTCAGATGGATGCTGACTGTGCCATTCTCAAGTTCACGTATAAAATGGAGTATTTTTTCAGGAAGAAAATTTTTATCTCCGGCCTTGAGCATCCACTTCTCATAATATAGAAAATGGGTTCTTTTTACTCACAGGTAAGTTCAGTGAATTTTCATAATTTCTCAGTCACCTCGGGTTAAACATTCAACCACATGTGGGATTTTTTTCCTCTTTTACGAAATCCATGCCCCTCAGGTTGATGTTAAGGTCTAGGAAGGGGGCTGTTTACTCAAGTAGCACTTGGCTGTTTCTTGAGGTCTATCTGACAGCGCTCTCTGCTGCCAGCCCTTGATATGTGCCTGGTGTCACCTGGTCCTTAGATTGACCTGCTGAACTGCAGCCTTGTGCTTCTCATATCCTTGGTGGGTGGTTGAAAGGGAGACGAGTCCAGGCCTGAGTCACACATCTACTTTTTAATACTGTCTTTTTGTACCTGAGACCCTAGCTTTTGAGCTTTACACTGAAGAATATGATGTCTTCGTTCTGTTTCCCTTCTGACCCGCTAAACCCTCCTTCCCCCACCCCTGGAAAAACTATAGATGCATGTTTGCAGCCCAAGAAAAGGACAGTAAAGAGGAAAGGGAAAGAACATTCTAGTTAATATCTCAAAGTATCATGTCTCCAAATAAGCCAGTTCTTCCACCGTGTGTATTTTGAATGCAAATTGAAAAACTAAGGACTTGGTAGAAATCTTTTCTGTTAGTCAAACATTTTAAAAAGTCATAGTATAGAATCCCCATTAAAAAAAGTTTTTTAGGGGCGCCTGGGGGGCTCAGTCGGTTGAGCGACCGACTTCGGCCCAGATCATGATCTCACGGTTCATGAATTCGAGCCCCGTGTCGGGCTTGGTGCTGACAGCCCAGGGCCTGGAGCCTGCTTCTGATTCTGTGTCTCCCTCTCTCTCTGCCCCTCCCCCATTCATGCTCTGTCTCTGTCTGTCAGAAATAAATAAACATTAAAAAATTAAAAAAAAAATTTTAATGTGGGGCTCGAACTCATGAACCAAGAGATCATGACCGGAAGCTCAACCGACTGAGCCCCCCAGGTGCCCCTCAGAACCTCCCATTTTCTAATAAGAGCCATCAGGTGGATAAATTGAAGTTACCCAATATGTATTGATGATAGGGGCTATGCTCAGAAACCAAAAGTTTTTAATTTAATTTAATTTAATTTAATTTAATTTAATTTTATTTTATTTTATTTTTATTATTATTTTTTTTAGTTACAAACAGACAATCCCATTTCATCCGTTATTAGTCCATTATCACAAGTGAGATGCTAGACCAAGATAGCACAATTAACAATATGGAAACTTATCAGATTTAATGACGGTGTATTTTGAAACAGAGGTCCAGAGGTCACCCATGCTAGGAAAAAAAAAGTCAAATTCACCCTCAAGATATGATGCTATTAGGTAGAAATATATTAGATTGTTTTCACCAACTAGCAAAGGAGAAAAAATACATCTGCAGTGCTAGCATTTATATCTACTTGCATGCTTGTGTCTTTCAGTTCCTTGTCAGTGATGCTGGAGGAGTCGAACTCCCGTTGCTACTCAGGTGGTCCATTTGAATGTGGTTCTTGCTACTAGAAAACTTTGTGTGACATATTTTATTTTGAACTTCAACATTCAAAAAATGTAACAGCTTCAAGTCTTCTGTTGGCTGGAAACATCTTTGTGTTGCACGATTATTATTTCTTTTTAGGTTTTCAGTTCACATCATCTGAACAAAACTCACACTGCTTAGCCCTAAGACAAGGTGGGTCTGTTTAAGATAAAGGTGGATACTAAATAGATGAGGTGTGGGGAGGGTCAGGGAAGAGGAGTCATGATCAAATCAGAGGAACTGAGTGAAATTAGAGATGAAATTCTTTGAGGCTTTTTTTCATGAACTTCATACATGGTAGTAAATTGCTTTTAGAAGCTGTATTAATATGTCTGGTCAAAGAAGTAAAGTCATGCCAATTTACTATATTATTAGCTAATGCAGCATATTCCAAAGTTGTTCTGCTAAGCACCAGTTCTCTCCCAGATGTTAAAGGACAAGTCATAGTGAAATTCTTATTTACAGGCGACAGAGGCTAACCCTGGATGACTTAAATAGGAGGAGAGGAGTACTTGAATTCAGAGCCCTGATGGAAGACTGGAGAACAGGTTGAGACAAGTTCAGGAGCCAAGGGAGAGGTAGGTGGCTGGAATCACAGCCAAAATCATGCCCTGGGGACCACCTGGTAGGACATCACTGTCACCACCTGTAGATACTTCACACTTTCCTTGCATCCCCAATGGCTCTGACCTCTGAACCTTGTGCCCATCATAGACACCGGAAGAGTTTGCACTGCCCCTGCTTCTCTGCCACTTCCTCCAGAGTCAAAGTCCCAGGAGGCAGCAGCCAACTGGCCCTGAGGGCATGTGATACCCTGGTTCCCATGAAGTTCCCAGGGGGCACCATCTGCCTTTTTACCTGCTGAAGGGAGAGGTGGGCCTTGCCTCCCAGGAAGATTGGCACACAGTTGGGGACTCCCTAAACATAAGAAGCTACTTCAGATGCCAGCCAGCCAGCCAAAAAAAAAAAAAAAAAAAAGATAAATGACAACAGGATGTAACATAGGAAAAGGTTCCACACTCAATTAATTTGGAAAATGCCAGGTTTAACAGATTTCTTTACTATAGGGCTTTTCATGTGACTGCATGCATGGTGAATCTCCAGGAGGGATTATAGGACCCCCCCCCCATCATCCGATGTGAGTGCTCCACGGAAAACATTGCATGAATCACTACTTTGAAGCAATCAGCAACACTATATTTTCTCACACTTAACCTCAGCAAACTGGTCTCTTTACTGACACATGCCATATTTCTAGGCATGCAAATTAGAACTGCAGTTCTGGAAACTTTCAGGCTGTACTGCTGTCTCATGGTTGGGTTATTTTTCAGGAGGAAGGTAATATTACTGTTACATGTTTGCAGCACCCACCATGGCTTTCGTTTCTTGGGGGTGCAGGCTTGGTTTAATCGCCTAGATATATCCCTGCTGTGCCCTTTTCCTTACTGAAGCATCTCCATTTGGTCTTGGCATGTTGTCCAACTTGCCTGAAGCAGTTAATGTTGCTTCAGAAAAATGTCTACGGGCGTAGTTTATGTCTGAGAGACCCTGGCTCTACATATAGCAGAGGTAGGAGCTGCCAAGATTAAAATTCTCTGATAACTCAAAACAAATGTCCTGCTTATTTTTATAGTGCGACAAGGTAAAAGCACGGAATCCAACAACCAAACAGCCAGTGACCTTGAAGCCATAGGCAGCATAGGAAACCGCTCCTATCTGTATTCATCGATGATGCCTAAACTTTAGATCGGAGTCATATTTAATTTGAAAAGATTGGGAAGCTGAAGACCATATCTTCACGTGCAAATCCCAGCCTTGGCTCTCTGGCCAATAGAGGTAAATACAAGTCACATGCTTGACTGAAATCAGCACTGAAGTTGAGCTTTCTAAAAAGTTTCATTATTTAATGTTTCTTTTTTCAAGCGTCCGTACTTATGACTTTCTTGTTATCCTTCAACATTTGTAAAATAGAAAGCTAACACCATGAGATAGAGACATTCATTGAAACAAAAATCTTTTTGGGGTCTACCGTGTGAAAGGCCTGTGCTAGATATAAGGGGTAAACTCATGAGTTAGACGTATTTCCTGCCTTTAAGAGCTTTTACCTAGACTGTGAATTGGTTTATTTATTTAAAAGACTTTTTTTCAGGCCGACTATGATCTAGGCACTGTGCTAGGAGCTCAGATAAAGCTGTGAACAAGAAAATAAAAGTTTCTATTCTTTGGCACATAGATGCAGTGGGGGAGCCCAATATTAAATCGCACAGCACATATTTATTCATTGAATCATTCTTGCCATCAGAGCCACAAAGCCTTAGACCAGAATAAGCCTGTGAGGATATGATGGAACGCATTCTCTCGGGAAGTGGCCTGTGAGCTGTGCTCTGAAGGATGAACAGGAATAAACGTTATGGAGATATGGTTGGAGGGAGCGAGACGAGAAATAAGAGTTTTAGAACAGGATAGAGTTTTGCTGGTACCAGAGGCAGGGTGGCCTGACCAAGCAGGGCCTTGGAGACCGTGGGAAAGTTTCAGTCTTCATGCTAAATGCAATGGGAAGACATGGGGCAGATTTCCTCAGGGAAGGAATGTAATCAGACACGCACTCTAGAAAAGTTACTCTGGTCATGCATATTGAATGGCTTGCAAGGGCAGTAATGGAGGCAGAAATACCAGCTAGAAGGTTGGTCTAGTAATGCAAGGGGAAAATGCTGGTAGGTTCAACTAGGGTAGGTGTGGGAGAATGATGCTGAGAGGTGTATAGATACAAGAGATATAAATGAGTCCCAAACAACAGAACTTGATGCTTAATTGGATGTGGGAGTTATTTAGGAGAAAGTCAGGTAAATTGCCAAATGCAATACGGTATGCTAAATGCTCTAAGAGACTATAGAGGCATCTGGCCTGTTGCTGGGTATAAACAAATGTATATGCAGAAAACCCCACAAAGGACCTCAAGTCATATATAATGTATTTGAAGAGGCTAGATGTAAATGCTGAAAAGTTAGCTCATAATCAAGGCACTAAATGCCAGTCATCACAGGTGTGATACAGGCACTATGGTTTGTTGGTGTTCCCAGGTCAGTTGTGGATAGAGGTAGCCAGGGAAAGCTTCATGCAATAGGCGCAATGAGCTGGGCTTGGGCAAAGAAAGAAAGAACAATCCTGGTGGAGAGAACACACAGAAGAGGGGGAGGAGGAAGTAAGGATAGACATAACATATTTAGAGAGTACCAAATAGACCAGTTGTATCAAAATGGGAGATTTGGGGGGAAAGAAAAATTTGGAAAAGATAAAATTGGAAGTATAGGTTAGGGGAAGCAAGGGGTTGCAGAATTATATGCAAAATTCATAAATACTGATTCACAGCTGGATTGTCATGAGTAAGCTGTAAATCTCCAGCACTAGGAAGAGCTCAAGTTCTCGGTCTCCTTGTGCCTTTTCTACAATGAAATCTCCGTCCCCCTGCCCCGCCCCAGCTTTATTGAGATGTGATTGACATACAGCATCGTGCCACTTGAATGGGCAAAACGTGTTGATCTGATGCTGGATCAACTGGAACTGGCTAGCCAACACCCTCATCAGGTCACATAACTAATGTTTCTTTTTGCGGTGAGAACATTTAAAATTCACTCTCTTAGCAACTTTCAAATGTATACTACCCATTGAGTACTCTTGGCTCCCCTGTCAAATATTACTTGACTATACATGCCAGGATTTATTTCTGGGCTCTTGATTTTGTTCGATCCATCTATGTGTTTATTTTTATGCCACTATTATACTGTTTTGATTACTATAGATGTGTTGTTGAATTCAGTTTGCTTATATTTTGTCGAGAATTTTTGTATCTATTTATCAGGGATATTGGCCTTAAGTTTCTTTTTCCTTGTGGTGTTCTTGTCTGGCTTTGGTTTTACAGTAATGCTATAAAATGAGTTTGGGAGTGTTCCCTCCTCTTCAATTTTTTGGAAGGTTTTGAGATGAATTGGTTTTAATTCTTCCTTAAAAGTTTGGTAGAATTCACCAGTGAAACCATCTGGTCCTGGGCTTTTCTTTATTGGGAGGTTTTTGATTATTGATGATTGAATCTCTTTATTCATTATTGGTTCATTCAGATTTTTAAAGATTTCATCCTGATTCAGTCTTGGTAGGTTGTATATTTCCAGTAATTCACCCATTTCTTCTAGGTTGTCCAATTTGTAGATGTATGGTTGTTCACAATAGTCTCATGGTCCTTTGTATTTCTGCGGGATCAGTTATAATGTCTGCTTGTCATTTCTGATTATATTTATTTACATCCTCTTTCTTTTTTTCTTAGTCTAGCTAAAGGTTTGTTAATTTTGCTTATCTTTTTTAAAAAACCCTTTCTTAATTTTGTTTGAAATGCCACATCCTCAGAGAAGCCATCCGTGGCCATCAGTCCCGAATTGCCTTTCCTTCTATTATTTTATTATTATGTATCAGATGCTCCTGTGTATTTACCTCCCACTGTTAATCACCACCTGCAAATATTCACTTGTTTAACCGTCTGTCTTACCCAATAGGACACAAGCTCCACGTGTGATGGTTTGTATGCTGTCCCTCTGTAACCTTGACCCTTAGTGTGGTGCCCAGTTGCTTCTTGCAAAGTGGGTATTGTGTGGGCAGGAGTGCAAGAGTTTAGATCCAAAATGAAGGCAGATACTGACACATTCAATGAAGGAAAATGGGGCTCACTTTGGGTTTGCCAGACAATTCCTGAGCTCTGCTCAAAAACAAGCACATGGAAAACAACACACTAGTCTTTTTATAGCCTTTAAAAGTTTGAAACCTCCTCATTGAGACTCCTCTTGGAATAAAGTTCTGCAAATATTTGGGATGTTCCAAGTGTGAATATTTACAATGTTTAAAATACTCTTCTAATTAACCATTTTATGAGAATGTCTTTACTTTTATGCTCAACTTTTCCGCTTATTTTTTAGTTCATGTCTTAAATACCTCTTCTGGTTGACTTTCTGAAGAAAGCATTGCTAGTTAATACTGAGTCTAAAATTGGATTTTACTGAACACTGTAAATATGAGGAGATTACATCCTGGTCTGCAGGGTCCAGGAGGAAACACAGGGCTGCTTCCGTCTAGGGTTGCAGCTTCCTGTTCTTTTAGGATGGAAATTTCCTGGTGACCCTGCTCCAGGGGCATCTCTTGGGCTCTGGGGTCCTCCATACTGGAGAGAAAGAGGGAGTTCTACTTTCAAGATCAGATGCTACTCCACCCCTAAAGTGATCCTGCCACAGGGTCGAGGGGTTTGCCTGAGCCTCAGAATATCTTGTAAGTGCTGCAAAGACACAAACTCTTTCTGAGAAGTAGACACCGGAGACCCCACGAGCTTGTTGATTAAGCCTACGGACTGTGGAGCCAGACTGCCTGGGTTTCGATCTCAGCTCTTCTGTTTGCTAATTGGATGACTTAGCAAATTACTCAACCTCTCTGTGCCTTGATTTCTTCACCTGACAAAGGGGGATGCAGATTAGTCTACCTACTTCAGGGAACTGCGTTGTGAGGAAGCAATGAGTTAATATGAGTTAATATGCATAAAGCCCTAAGAAAAGTATCTGTTTTTTTTTCTATGTTCATTTGTTTTGTTTCTTAAATTCCACATATGAGTGAGATCATATGGTGTTTGTCTTTCTCTGACTTATTTCGCTTAGCATCGTACCCTCTAGATCACTATATTGTACACTTGAAGCTAACTTAAGACTGTATGTTAGCCACACTGTAATTAAGATTTTTAAAGAAATGTCTGGCACATAGTAAATGCTTAATAAATGTTATCAATTATTGTTGTATACTGAGGATATGGGGATCTTTGTTCCTATACAACCCTTTTAACAGAGCCTGTTTCACCCACTAAAACCCACGTTTTGACAATTAGCATTCAGATTTCACCCAGTTCCTGTGGTCTGTCCACTTCTTTTTCTTCTCCTCAGAAGCATTGTTTGGCCTACCGTCACGGGGCTTCCATACCCTGCCCTCAACTGACAATTTTGCTTGACCGGCTTTCTTGCCTATGACCTTGAATGGTCTTTCTGGAACATTACTTTCCTTTTTAATGTTTATTTATTTGTTTTGAGAGCGAGCAAGTGAGCGTGTGCGTGCGAGTGGGGGAGGGCCTGAGAGGAAGAAAGAGAATCCTAAGCAGGCATGAGATCATGACCTGAGCCAAAATCAAGAGTCAGACACTTAACCAGTTAAGCCACCCAGGTGCCAAAGGGATATTTCTTTTTATATCACAGGCAAGAGACACTGCACTTCTACACCCTCTCTAGCCCCAATTAGTGAGGAGTGGTGACGGATGACCCTTGTCCTCTGCCTACAAGTGAGCTTTCATCAATTCCTAGATCTTTAGCATTGAGCTGAAATAAAATGATAGCAGTACCATATGTTGGGGTGGGCAATGATGTGGCCTTATCTCGGAGAGGACACCCAGACATCCAGGTGATTATCAAGAGGAGGAAAGGGGACGAGGTTTGTCTTTCAGCATAGCCCCTTACGGTCTTAGCACATTTCTTTCTCCAAGTCTCCGTCTGCCTCACTGTTGATGGTGTTTGGGAGGGTGGCCTTGCCTGAGGCTGACCCAGTAGTTTCTTATACATAATCGGAAGCAGATGAAAATATAGACTTTTTGCCCTTGGTCCAGCACACAGCAAATGACTCCCTATTCATGCAGTGCTATGTGAATCCAGAAGATAATCAGGCATGTCCTGACACCCCGGAAGGTGACCTCTCTGGTTTTCTCCCAGGCAGTTATTCTGTCTTTTGCTGTTGAGATGGTCTTCGTTGTTTTTCAGTTATCTCCAAGCATCTTCTTTCTGTCTTGTGGTTCCATTTAAAAATTCACATTTTTCCATGAGAATAACCCTCAACTGATCATTTTGGTTGCCAGTGGCTGGCGATAAACTAACACAGCTGAAGTTCCCAGAAAATTTGTCATTGTGTGGTGGGGACACACCATGGATAAAAGATTATTGAAACCTCTGAGCTCCCTCAGAAATGTCACTAATCTACACATGAAGTTAGGATTATGAGGACAAGGAGGATGAGTTTCATCCACCTGGGGCTCCATACAACATGTTCAGATAAGAAATTTCTGGTTCACTGTCTCACCCTGGCTCTGTGAAAACTCTTAGCTCGAAAGCTGCCACTATTCTTTTAAAAATTCCCTGGCAGTCCTGGAAGCCAGGAAAGTTTTACTCTCAAACAAGAATTTTGGTGTTTGTATCTGTTAAGTCCTTTATTTAATTACAATAACACATTGTTTAAATTAAGTTTCCTTTGGAAAAAAGAAGGGTTTAAAGGAAGAAGAAAACATTATGTCAAACTAGACAAAGTTTGGAGAGACCGAAAACTCTGTTTTTCAAAAAAAAAAACAAAACTAAAACCTTTCTGGAATTCTCTTCCCCATGGCCAATTTGCTCAACTCTGTGGCCTTCATCTAAAAGTGGTTCTCTACCCCTTCACCTGAGTTAGGTCTAAGAGAGAAGTATTTTCATAAAGGCAAGCCAGGCCTCAAATCAGGGTCCTACACATCCCTGGCAGGCCTTCTAGGAACATTAGAGCGGAGTATTTAACTTCATAACTGGGCGGTATCTGTTTCCTTCTTTAAAGATGCCAGTTTCAGTGGATATATTAAGCATATCCTCATAGTCGGGGTGAAAATTTGTAGTAGTTAGCTGTATACCAGCAAATGATGGACAAACTGACCAGAATTGAAGAGGTGTTGGCTATAAGTACACGTGGCTGGCTAGATTCTGTCCTCTCTCTGTCCTTCCCCCCCCCCCCCCGGTTCTTTCCTTTCTTCCCCTCTTCCCTCCTTCCTTCCTTTGCACCTTGGAAGTCTTTCTCCGGATGGTAGGGGTTCAGAGACTTTCTAATAGATCTGGGGAGTAAAAGAAAAAACACCTTAGATGTCGATTATATTTCGAGAAAACAAAAAGCGAAGAAAAGCCACTCTTGTGTACTCCCAGAACACTTCTGACACTGCACGTGTGGGTTCTGCCACACCAAGCCAATTGTGGGTGGCCACCAGTTGGGAGTCTTCGGGTTTAACTGAACGCTGTCACTAACTGCCTGCACGGGTGAAGGGCTCAGCCCAAGACTGCCCTGCCTTCAGATGCCAACCCCAGGTGGTCACGTGTACTTCGGACCAACTTGTTCTGAATAAGGGATTCCCTCCTTGGGTCTGCTAATTTGCTAGGACTGCTCACAAAACTCAGGGGAACACTGATTTATGCTTATCACAAAGCATATTACAAAGGATGTGGGTGACAAGTCGGATGGAGCAGTGCACGGGGCAAAGAGTAGGGGAGGGGTGTGGAGCTTCCACTTTCTCTCTAGACGTGTCACCCTCCCAGCACCTCCCTGTGGTGCCTCTGGGTTTTCTCTGAAACCCAGAGTTTGAGGGTTTTCTGATGGCGGTTTCCTCATGTAGGCATGATTGACTATTACCTCATTCTCCAGCCCCTCTCAGCTCCCAGAAGGATGGGGCAGGGCTTGAAGTTCCAAGCTACCAATCATATTTGGTCTTTCTGGTGACCGGCCCTCCTCCAACCCCGTCCAGGAGCCCCCAGAATCTCCTCGTTGGAACAAAAGACGGTCCTATCACCCAGGCTATCACAAGGGTTTTAGGAACTCTGAGTCAGAAACGGGGGTCAAAGACCAAATATTAGGACAAAAGATGCTCCTAGCACCCCTCTCACTCAGGACATTACAAGGGTTTGGGGAGCTCGG